GGGCTTTCTACGAGGCAAATGGCACATGGGGTTAAGGCAGTTCTTCCTTACCAGTTTCTCCAAGTACTGCTCATACTGTAGGAGCTTCCATTTAAGATATGAAACACCTTCAGACAACTGTTCTCGTGTGCAGGTGTTACAAAAATTAATCTTCATTGAATCAAAGTCCTACACCTTTGCTCACTTTCCTCCCACCTCTCCTTTTTTCCTACCTCTGTATATTAAAGCTAAGTTCACTTTAAGCTCCAGCTGCCCTCAGATGGTGTCGGGAGACCCTCGTGGTCTCTTGCAACAAAGCATAAGTGAATTCGCACCAGTGCAGATTTGCCTCTATTCACATCACCCTGCATTCATTTGTGTTGTTTGCATTATTGCATAGGCACCATGCTTATGACTAAAACATGCTTCTAGAAGTACCAGAGCTGGAGGCTGCTCGTTTTGAAGCAGTTTCTTGTGTTAAATTCTGGGGGTTTTTCTTCGTTTGGAGCTGCTGGGATCCTCCGTGTTTCCACTCACATCTCTGTTTTGTTTCCCACATTAGCACTGCTTTAGCTGCTGTTATGATAACAGAGCCGACCTGACCTGACCAGCCGGCCTCTTCCTCCCCTTCAAGCCTTCCGTGACGGGAACCTTTGCCCCATTGTTCTCTCTCTCTCTCTGGCTGTTGTTTGTGTGCTCCATCACTTTTCTCTCTCTTTTCTTTGCAGCCTGAGTTGCACCAGTTTATTTAGTTTGGCCTTAAAGACGACGTTCACCGTTCTCCTTTAAGGTTAGTTGGCAGTGGAAGTTACATGTTTGTTGATGCATTTGTTCTGGAGATAAAGCTCGCTGCTCACGCTCACATAGTTTCTGGCATCCTGTGCTAAAATATCATGCGGCTGACTCTGCCCCTTTAACTCATTAAGATTCACTTGTTGCAAACAGCATAAAGCAGAGCATGATGGGAATCTTGAATGAGATAAGAGGATTACCTCTGCCCCATGAATCGACTCTTATCTTCCTGTATTCTCTTTCTCCTCTCATCCATCTGATACCGGTGAGTTTGTGTTTACAGCAGAGCTAATCCAGCTCAGCTTCTTCCTCTGCGCTCACACTTTCTGTTGCTATAAAGGGAAAAGGACACTTACTGCTCCCACATACAGGTGGGTATATCAATCGACATGTTTGACAACACCTCGATCAAGGAGAGAGCTGAATCAACTAAAACTGGCATCTTAACCAAAACCAGTTTTTCCATCTAACCTTAGATTGGTCTCCAGTGATTTCAGTTAGGACCATACAAATGGAAAAGCTCTTAAAAAAATTCTTTAAAAGATGGCATTCTCTACAAGTAGCCTAGACACAAATTTGGTACCAAATCCAACAGTCAGCACCTTAAAAAATACACCATGTTTATTCTTAATGGATAGCTCTTTATTAGCTTTGATAATTTCAGATAAATCTGAGAAAATAACCAATTATGTTTTGCAAACCCAACTCCCATTTTCTTGATAGAGCCAAAATTATCTGCTTGTTAAGACCTTTCACTGGTGGAGAGAATGATAATTTTGTGGTTTTATTAACTGTCTCTACTTTTTAAGATCAAAATCATTAGGATTACAAACATGTGCAGTCAAAGTGCAATAAAACGGAAAGCGATCATTTATGTGTCATGGTGATGCCTTTAGGGACTTTCATCTTTCAGATTTATTAGTCAGTGTTTAGTGTTAACTGGGACTAGATCTTCATAACTTCTGCAGCCCACCTTAACAATACCTGGACAGAACCAGTAGATGTTCTCCATATATCCAACTATACATCTTCAGAAATATTCACCAGCAATTCTTGGTAGAATGTAGATAGGTATTTCTTATCCAAATGCTTTTTAAGGACTGCTGACCAGACATCTGGGTAGTTCTGTGGCCATGGATCCAAAATGTTAATTTGATGATCTGAACTACTAAGCTGCCCCTTTTACCTTGTGTCAAAGAGCTTCATGATGTTGTAAAATGCACAGATTGTCACCAAACTGCTCCTGGATCGTTGGAAGAAAGTGGTCTTTGAGGTAGTTTTTTGCATGGGCAATCCTGTCCTGTCTCCCTACCCTCACCCTGAGCTAGTCACAGCAGATGGCGGACCCTCCCTGAGCCTGGTTCTGCCGTAGGTTTCTTCCTCCTAAAAGGGATTTCTCCTTGTTTTCCTTGCCACTGTTGTCCAGTACTTGCTCATAGGGGGTCATCTGATTTGTGGGGTTTTCTCTGTATTGTTGTAGAGTGTTTACCCTATCAGTATAAAGAACCTTAAGGCAACTGTTGTTGTGATTTTTTTTCTATGTAAATAAAACTGAATTGGAATTGAATTGAATGAAAAAGCAGGAGCTCCTTGAGCCTGGTTCTGTTGGGGGTCTCTTCGTTCTAAGAGAGAGTTCTTCCTCCTCACTGTCACCAAGTGGCGTTCAAGTTTTTCATATAGCAGCACATTGAGGATGTGTTGTTGTGAGCTGATGAGGCCATATTTGTCAGGCTGATGTTCCTAAAATCTGGAAAGTCAGTGGCAGGATTTTTGATCTCATTATGATAGAAACCATGATGTGCGAGGTCACAGCGGTCACTGCTGCGGTCATGGAGGACACGTGTTTTCAGAAATCTGCCCTCATTGATCGACCTCCCTCTATCTCAACTCCCATGAAAATACACGTATTGATCTCCAGTACTATCTTCATATTTTGCAGCTCCTCTCTCTTCTGCCTTTATCCTCTGGTGCGCCTCTCTTTTCTGTTTCAGTTCGATGAACATCAACCAGAAAAGAGAGCAATGATTAACCCAGAGGGAGGAGAAATCGAGCGAGGTAGAGAGTGAAGTGTAAACGGAGACAGAGATGTAGGAACCGAGGCTCTGATGCAACACTTTTAGTTTTAGAAAATAAAAGACGATCAGGCGGGGGGGTCTGAGTGGATCTGAAATCAAAGGAAGCGTGAAAATATGAGGTGTTATACACCTGAATGTTTTAAAGCTTCATTTTGAAGGCATCGATTAATTTTTATCAGAACAGAAATGTTATGCAGCGTGAAATCATATCTTCTTTCTTGTTTCACAAATAAAACATTTTTAAAATTGTTTTGATGGTTCCTGAGCGTGACGGCGCCCGCAGTGTCCCTGCTCTTTGTGTATCGAGGTAATAAGGACGGAGCACTGGGGGCTGCATATTGGCAAGAGTGTCAGTTGGCTTGTGTTTCTGTGCATGACCAGGCATGAGAGAACGAGCTCAGAGCGAGACTGAGAGGATTACTGGTCAACATGGGCCTCGAAAGTCAGGGCCAAAGGTCATGCAGCAGTGGCAGGACAGCTGAAGGGCGGAGGAGGAGGATGATGGTGCTTTATACTCATCTGTCTTTATTCAGCTTGATGGTATCAGGATGTACAAACACTGCTTTAAGTATCTGCCTAAAAGACAGAGTCGTCCAATTTACCAGCTTTTTGTTTGCATCACAGAAAATTTGTGTTTAAGGACCAGTTACACACAGTGTTGGGAAGGTTACTTTTAAAATGTATTCCACTACAGATTACAGAATACATGTCCCAAAATGTATTTTGTAACGTATTCCGTTACGTGACTCAATGAGAATAACGTATTCGGAATACTTTGGATTACTTAATATATTATCATGCTGTTTACAACTATATGAATGCGATTTATTACTATTACTGAAGGTCCGCGGCTCCGAACCATAGTAAAGGGACCTCTGACTAATATGTCGGGTTCCGTGTCGTGCTCGTAGCCGAAAAATAGCCTTACTTTGTTGTGTGGGTCAAGTTTGCTAGCGAGAGACAGAGAGAGGCGTTGAAAGGCTGCTCCAACAGAACTTAATGTTTCGGAACACACGAACACGGTGTACAGTCGAGTCTTAATAACGTACTTACAACTGGGCTCGTCAGACACTCTTCTTGGCTGCAGTGGTTATTATTATATTTGCATGCTTCCAGCTCCCATTTCTGCTCGATGACAACTCGTAGTTTTCCACTCTCTTTTTTTCTCCCTCCGCACACTCACAGACACATAACGGGTACGGCAGTCCATTCTCCCTGCAGCACGGACTACACTGCCCATGAGGCTACATTCTTTAGGGCTATGCCTGTAGCATTCTGCCTGTTAGCTTAGCACAACAACAACAACAGCAAAAAAGTGCTCTCTCACCCAGGAAACACACAGTCGCAGAGAGATCGCATCACCCTGTAACCATGGCAACCGTAACGCTGCCGCCTGGAACAACAGTACATAGCTGTCAAACAAAACCCAAACAGTCCTGACCCACAACAACATGAAACAGGAAAGTACCGTTGTGTAATCCATTTATTTCAACAAAGTAACTGTATTCTAAATACCACCTTTTTAAACAGTAACTGTAACGGAATACAGTTACTCATATTTTGTATGTTAAATACGAAACGGTGGTACATGTATTCCGTTACTCCCCAACACTGGTTACACAAACGTCGCTCAGTTAGGTTTAGGAAGCCAATTCAGTTTGTTCAGAAGCACTTTTAAAAACAACAAAGCTCCCCTGATATAAAAAATAATAATAATAAAATAAAAACAGGTTTATAAAATGTTGGCGAGGTTCTGAAATGACAAACAGCAGAAACTACAAAGACCCAACCTCCTCTATGTTTTAATCTGGATCAAGGGACAACCAGGAGCATCTGCTCAGCAGACCTCAGTGATCCTGTGCTCCAAATATTAGAGATCTGACAGCTGAGGAGACGCCAACCAGTGCAGTGACTTAACCTTGTAACAGTCATGTTGCCAGGAGGTTGCTCAGCGTTGGGGAATGATGAGGTTCACATTCATACTTTAACATGTAACTGTCCCCTGTTTGGCATAACAAAATGGAAAACTTATAACAATTCAAATCAATTCAAGAATCTACAATAATACAGAGAAATTCCCAACAATCAAATAATCCCCTATGAGCAAGAACTTAAGCAATGTGGCAACCAGAGATCACAGGAAGTGAATGGCAATCTGCGACTTTGAGCGACTGGACATAGGAAGTGGGCAGGACCAGAGACAAACTCCTTGAATTCAAGGTGAGCAACTGAAGTAACTACCAATGAGAGCAAATGATAGCACTGATTGACATATTGTCACGGTCTGGTTGGGCACCTGCAGGTCTCAGACAGCGGCTCCTCCTCCTTTAGGCGGAGTCCGGTTGCCCCTCCCGGGCTGACCACCTGTGAGCAATCGTGCCAGCGGTATATCAGACCTGCGCTCTCAACCCCTCATCGCCTGAGTATCTGCTATTCCCATGTTAGTTCTGTGGAGCATCCTAAACCTTGTCTTAACGCCGTGTGATGACTCACCTGTCCTTTCTTGTCCTCAGTGATAGCACCCGGAGTGGAGATCTTGTTCCCCTCGCTCCCATCCTCCTGGACCGGGGCCGCCAGCTGCTTACACAACGTGGCCTGCCGGCCCACCGCTCACCTGCCTGCCTCCCCACGCCTCGACCGCTTCCGGATTTTCCGCTCCACCTGTCCCCTCCATCTGAAACCAAGTAAGGCAATTCTATTCAACTGCGGAGGATTGTTGGTTGTCTGCTGGATCCCTCTGATCGTGATCTCCTCTTGTTCCAGTGCCCACGGCCCCTGCCTAGTCCTGTTTCTACCTCCCCGCTGTTCCCGCTGTCAGCTGTCTCCTAGAGGTGTCTAGGTCGCCCTCATTATCCCTGACGAACCCTACGCGCCACTAGTGTGGTGGCGTCGCTTTATGTTTTGCCTTTGTTTTCATGTGGGCGGAATAAATCATTTGTTTTCAGTCACCTCGCTTCCGGGTTGGTTTCTGCGCCTGTGTCCATCCCTGTTCCCTCGTGCCGCTGGGCCGTGACACATATGACCTGGTAGTAAATACTTTAGAGGGTTACCTAGGCAACCAAAGCCTGGAATGTCCACAAGAATCCAGCCGTCAGCTTCCAAGTGATGAGCGAATCACTTACAGTGTGGATGCAGCTTTACACATGCTGTAGATCAGCGGTCCCCAACCCCTGGGCCTCGGACCTGTACCGGTCCGTGAGTCGTTTGGTACCGGGCCGCGAGAGTTGAGGCTCAGGTGTGAAAAGTTTTCAGGGTTTTTATCGGTTTTCAGCGTTATTTGTTATCGTTTTTAGCATTTATCATTTACTCGGTTTTCCTTGGTCTTTTCACGTGTGTTATGAATAAATGTTCTTTTTTTCGGTACCGGTACTAGTTTTATTTTGTTGTATTTATCCGCGACACCTTAAAGACCGGTCCATGAAAATATTGTCGGGCATAAACCGGTCCGTGACGCAAAAAAGGTTGGGGACCGCTGCTGTAGATGGTAATGTGGAATAAATCTCAAAGACTTAGTTTGAGAATTCTTACTCACTCTTTTATTCATATAAAATTTCAGTGGGACTGGGGTGGCTATTATTTTGCATTTATGTTTACTGCACAGCATTCATTAGCTCAGTGATGATATATATGCTTAAGATTATTGCCCTGCAAATTTTCAACTAACACAGGTTTAAAGTTAAAGTCAAATAAGAGGTTGAAATATCAGATACTATCCTCAGAAGACGGTGCTATCTTCCATGATTTTGCTTCGGTGTCCATTAAACATCGATGTGTAGCAGTGTTGGCAGTACTACAGGACTGGGTCATCTATATTTTATATTATCTGATGTCTCTCTTCTGTAATTTGCCAACATGTAAAGAATAAGATGAACTTAAAATATCTGATCAGGTCTCACTCATTTCACTAACAGATAAATCAGGTAGAGTTGCTGCCAAGGGGAAATGCAGTGTCCTTCAAAATAAAAGACCAGCTATTTCTCATTTGGATAGCTGTGTGCTCTCGCGCTGGATTGTACGATATGACTGAACAGTAAAGTATGCACAGTTCTTCATGTGCCAAGTCCGGCTGGATGAGAAGCGTCTTGCTTTGGTCGTCAAGTTTTTCAATCATGTGGCCTTCCATACACCTGCTTCCCATCAGGTCATCACCCACATGCATATTTCAGGAAGTTCAATCATCTACTCCTTGCGTTGCAGCTTCTCGCAGGGAAAAGAGGCAGTATGCTGGAAAATTCCTCTGAATAAGGAACTCACCGAAAGAATCCCAACTGCCTGCCCACTCTCCACCTGGAAGGAAATTCTCCAACCTGCCCACTCACCTCTGCTCCTGTCCCCTTTGGCTCCCTTCCCTAAGTTCCCCATCTGGTTACGATCCCAGAGGTCCAGTTCAGATACTCCGACGAGCTGAGACGAATCCTAACAGACAGCTAGCAGCTATAGCCACCTATGTCGCCGTCCACCTGTCAGTCAAAGAAGCCACGCCCTAATAATGCAAACTTTTAGTCTTGATGAACAGGTGACTTATACACACACACACACACACACACACACACACACACACATATATTTAAAGTTGTTATGAAAGGGGAAATGGTCCATTCACATTTACCCACAGATGTTTCTTCTTCTGGTTGACAAACAGCTGGAAGCCCTCTCTGACAGGTGTGTCCAACAAGTTTTGAGGCCTTGAATTCACCTAATCAAACTATTTTGAAGACTCTGTTGGGATGTGAAGACAACGTGTCCTCCACAACATCTCTGACATGCATTTGACATGCCCGCCCACCCCACCCGACCGAGCCACGCATCAAACAAAACTGTTACTTCCACTCCAACTTACAGCCGTGACCGTCCTTCCTGTGATGCTCTTCCAGAAGTCTGATGGCTGCACATGACGTTATAATCACGACATCCAAATCAAATCCCTGCCTTTTCCCCCATTTTTTTAAAATGAATCCTGCGTGACATCGTGAAACACTTAACCAAGAAAATCCACTTCGCCTATCATCAGCTATCTGGACATCAGATTTGTCTCTAATCAACATTCAGAGGCCTAATGGACATTCCTCGGTTTCTGCAAGAATATCAAATGAGAGGAGAGGGAGGTTTTAATCTCTCCAATTACTCTGTATCTCCTGGTAATACAATCAGGCCGCAAAGGCACGATGGCAAGCCTTCAGGGCCTGCAAATCAGAAACAAATGCCTGGGAATCTAGCGCTGTCTCCAGCACAGAGAGAGGAAGCAGAGAGACAGATCAGGGGGGAAAAAGCCCTCAGAAAGTCAGATGAGGGAGTCGATAAAAAGTTTTTTGGAAAAGGACTTCCACACCACCATGAAATAGGATTTTCTGCCCCGAATCGGGAAAACGCTCCCTCCTCCTCCTCCTCCTCTTTTCTTCCTCTCTCCTTTAATCTAATTTGAAGGTTTTAATGGCAGTAGGGAAACGATTTGAGGTTGCTGGATCTCGCTCATCTCTTGTTGCCTGGACGCTCACAGATGTAACTGCGATCCTGCATTTATGTTAAGTGCTTTCTCTGCTGGTGAAAACAGTGGTTTTTGGACGTGAGGCTGTGAGGTCGGCCTCTAACTGGCACTCCTGTCAGTCCAAACCTTCTCGGTCCTCCTAACACCCCGTCTTCTGACTGAGCCGCAGCCACAGAGACGATTAGAAGCTGAGAGTGCAAACAAGAGGATGGAAAAGACATGTCTGTGCTGCTTCTCTCTCTCCTTTCTCTGCCTCCTTTCCTAGAAATCGGATAATCTCTGTGTCACCCTGTGATTGCTAGACTGGCGAGGCCGTCTCCTGCTTCTTAACTGGCAACATAAACCGTGGTTAAAGACCGACGGAGCACTGATCATGCAAGCAGTGCCCTTAACTTTATACTGAACTGACTTTTAGTGGAGAGAGGTATTAAAGGGTTTCATGTGCTTGAGCACACCTGAGGGATGCTCAGCTACTTTATTGTCAAGATGAGGAAAAAAAATTTTTTTTTATTAAGTTAAAAAAAAAAAAAAGTTGCTGAAATTCAAACATCATTGACGTGTTTTTTATGCAAGGGAACCAATAAAGATCAACTGAACAATTAAAGAGCTGCAGAGGAGGCGGACGCACCTGGGCGGGATCTGCAATCACGCCTCGCTGGCTTAAAAGGTCAGCCAGCTCCCGAATGGTCGTTGTTGTTGGTATGTGTCGGGCTGTGAGCCGCGGAGCTGTAGCTGACTGTGCATGTACAACAACCGTAAAGTAAGTGTTGAAAAAAGTAAGCTGAAAAGCACATTCATGTCGTCGAGTCTGCTGTGGTTCTATTACAATGATCCTGCAAGGAAACCGTCCACCTTAAACGTTGCCTCCTTAAAACTGGCACAATGAATTCAGCACTTTTGTCTTATCTTTTCTGTTATGTTGTAAAGATTAAATTAAAAGATATTTTGGACATTTACTTTTAAAGGTTCGTGTAAATTGATACTTACTTGTATTCCATCTTGACCTTTGACCTCTTTTCACCTCAAACGAGATATTCCTTTTTTCATAGAATAATTAGTCATAAACTTTTTGAAAAAATTATTTTCTTTGTAGAAATTCAACAGTGTTTTTATTATTAAAAGCAATATGCCCATAGAAATATGGCCAGGCTCACAGCAAAATGTGAAATATTAAGAAAAACAATAAATTTGTTTTTGTTTACAGGCAAATTTCACGTTTATTCATCACAAATTTGTAAGTAACATATTTCAAAGTCCACAAGGTGACCGGAGAGATGCTCTAAAGTGCTTCAATTGTGTTTGTTGGCTAAGCTGTCTAATCTTTAACAAGGAAAAAGCACGGTTGTTGTGATTTATAATTAAAAATTAATTGAATTGAGAAGACGATCAAGAGAATTATTCAACACTGAAATATATACTCCGCAAACATGGTGGAAACTTGGCGGATAGAAACTGGTCACAGTACGGCTACAAAAACCAAACCACGTAGGAACAGATGTTTACGTCGTTTCTATGTAGAATACAGGTTGGATACGAGCACAATAAGTGAGAAATATTGATCCGTAATTATCAGTAAAATCTTTTTTTCTTTTAAAGACAAAGAAATGGGCTGTTACTATATAAGTGAATAAACTTTACTACTCTGAGCACTCGGAGGTACCAGCCTCACTATCCCATGTTCTTGTTTCTACACCTTAGCACCTTGTCAAACATTCACACACTCACAGACTCAGGGTTTAGTATCTTGCCCAAGGATACACTGTAAAAAAAAAATCCTAATAAAAAAAGTATTTTACTGTGTATTCTACAGTTTTGTACTGTTCTTCTAGAATATCATTAAATTTACATCAATAGACTGTGATTTCACATTTCAAATGTAAATTAACGTAAAATCACTGTAATGTAATTGTTTTTTAAATGTATCTGTCTGTACATATGCATATTTAGATTGTTAAAATACATTCACAAATGTATCATGATTTCACAAATATTTGTCCGTTATTTGAAAGATTGAACTGTTAAATTCAAATGTAATACTAAGGAAAAATATATAAAATGATTCTTATAAACTTTTTTACTATTTTTTTTCACTTTTTAAAAATTATTATTATTGTTATTTAGGGCAATCGTGGCTCAAGAGTTGGCAGTTCGCCTTGTAATCAGAAGGTTGCCGGTTCGAGCCCCGGCTCGGACACTCTTGGTCGTTGTGTCCTTGGGCAAGACACTTTATCTACCACCTAGTGGTGATGGCCAGAAGGAATTGTAAAGCGCTTTGAGGGTCTCAAAAAGCGTGATATGAATGCAATCCATTATTATTTAAACCAACTGTTAACTGTATATTTCTGTACATTTAAGTATTATTATTCATATTGCAGCATTCATTGACCTTGTTTATAGGTAATTTCATTGTTTAATCACATTAAATTGTTCCTAATTTAATGTTTAAAAGCACTTGAAAAAGGCAAAATTCCATGTAAAATTAGGAGCAACAAATTGTATTTTAAAAATTGTACAAATTGTATT